GGCAGAGACGGTTGGGGCCCGGCGGTGACGCCGCAGCGGTACCTGCTGGAGGAGGGCTGGAGCTCGCCCGCGGCGCGCACGGTGTGTCCAGGGCCTTACGCTGAACTCGGGGAGGTCTCTGCTGTGCAGCAGAGCCTCTGCTGTAGCTGTGTAGGCAGGAGCCCCGAATGTGGACGTACTGTGAGTTAAATTTTACTTTTTTTTTTTTTTTTTTTCCTGCCGGGGTAGTTACTTGCTGAAACAACGTAAACAAAACGGGAACAGTGACTTTTCCGCAGTGCCAACAACTTGTCAGCACAGTGATGTGAGGAGGGGTTCACAATTTGCCTGACTCCACAGAATCACAACTCCACAGAATTCCAGAACTACCTTTAACTCACTAGGTTAAGGTCACTAAATAACGAAGTTAACTCGTTAGGAAAAAACTACCTGTTATTTTCAGACTTCTTATTGTCCTCATAAGAACAGTTGCAATTACTGATGTTGTATGGTTTACTATCCAAATGACCTAAGGCTTTTGTTGGACTTTTTTTTTTTTCAATGGAAGGTACTAGCAGAGGAGGAGGAGGATGGGGCGCTTCTAACCAGAGATACACAAATGTTATCCAGCCATCTACCTTTAAGTCTAATACATGGGGTGGCAGCAGAGACCACGGAAGAGGATTTTTTGGCTCATTTGATTTTGGCTCGTCGGGCGGCAGCAGCAGAAATTCAGACTTTTCACAGAACAGATTCTCTGCATTAGTGAACAGTCAAAATATTGCCGATGGCTATAAAGATGAAGAGGAGAGACTTCTGTAAGTTACAGGCTAATAACTACTTTTTGTGGTTTTCTTTTGGCCATATAATTTCATCTGTGGTTTTAATTTGTTTGGTTTTGTAGGGAGTGTGTAGTGAAAGACATGGAAATTTGGGAATCTTCAGGGCAGTGGATATTTTCATCTTATTCACCGGTGAAAGGAAAGCCAAACATCTCAGGTGGGCAATGCTTTTAGTGTTCCTACTCTGTAGGATGTTTCATACACTTGTCCACACTGTTGTACCTCTGTGGAACCATTTGCAAGGTGATGATTTGCCTTGTAATGCAACAGAAGGGAATATTGAATTACAGCAAATTCATTTTGGACATTCACATCTTTGAAGTTCTCTAATGAATCCTTTTATGTGTCTCCACCCATAGCTGGCTTACAGATAACGTACCAAAGACCATTTCTTCCTAACTGTAAAGGGCAATTGAGAGCACTGATACGTTTTCTTGGATTTTTTTAATTATTCCTCCTCTTACAGGATTTCCAGATTTCTCACCAGAAGAGTTGCACCTGGAGTATTATAACTGCAGAGCAAACAATAACATTCAGAACTATGTAAGTATTTTAAAAATGCTGACTTTTCATGATGTAAACACATTTCAAGATAGAACTTGTTTCTGTTCTTCAGGTGGCAACTCTTGACTCATTTCATTCCCAAACTAGGAGATTATCAGAATGCCAGAATGCTTTTAAATTGCAGTGCACCACGTAGATTGCAAAAATAGCTGGGAGTCTGTATGCTGTACCGTAACTCCCTATTTCTGTCTGAAATCACAGGCTAAAATGGTCAGATCTGGGCTTCTGAAACTGGTGGCATACGTGTCTAGACCCATCAGCTCCTACAAGAAGTGGTGGCAACAGACTATTAGTTTAGCTAGCCTCAGTTAAATGTATGGTCTTTCTAAATCTTGACACTCCTTGTCATAGTCCTGTTCTGCTCTTGGGTGTTATTTGTAGAAGTTTTTTTGCATCCTGTCTCAAAAATTTAATACTTTGTATGCTGTTAGTCTGTTTGATTGTTACAGCTGGATATATAGTGCTTCAGCTACAATACTGGGTAAGTTTATTTGACCTTGTTCTTTCACATTTATTGCAGGGAATTAATGCTACAAATAGCAGATACTTCTCAAGGAGTATGTTCATTTCTTATAAAGGAGTAATATATATATATTTTTTTTTAATATCTTTCTCTTTAAATGTATATGTATTCCTCACTTACAGTCCTGTCAATACCGAGGAAGCTAGCACAGTTCAGTGTTGTACCAGGAAAAGAACTAGACTGCTGGATAGATACAAATTAAGTCAAAAAATTTCCTCTTCCTGTTGGTTCTGGTTCTGTACTACAGAAGGAATTGCTGTTGTCACCAACTCTTGTTTCACGTGTTTTCAGAACTACCAGAATTGCATTTTCAGAGACAGAAGAAAGATTTTTTAAAAGAAGCTTCAGTTAAAAAAAAAATAAGTCTCTAGCCTCACTGAAGCATTGAGTGCAAGTTCATGAAAACCTTACTATGTAGATGATAACTGTAAGATACTCACAAAAAATGTTTTCAGTACAACATGTCTTTTTTCAAAGCTTGTGTTTCTATTCTTAACAGGGGTCAAAATCTGAATTTTCCAGTCTGTTGGGTAAGAGCTGATAGGAAGGAACATGATCTTCCAGCATGTGACTAGACACAAAAGAATTATTGATGTTTATGATGTAGGATCTTTTGGAAAAATGAAGGATTTGTTATACAAAAAGATTACTCATTCCACTCTTGCAGGGATTTGGGACACTTTATGTTTTACTTGGTTAGCTTTTAAGAAAAGATCAATTAGGCCAGCCTTCAAATAAAGTGTGTTGACAAAATTAATACATGAAATTCAGGTCTGAAATTCCTGAAAAGTAAGTTATTAAATGACTTTCCAGTTTCTTGTTTAATAGTCCAGTCATAATTATCAGCCAGGCACAGATACTGTGTACTGCCATCTATGTTCTGTGCAGTCATCTGTTAGCTCTCACTAAAGGTCCTGATAAAAATCAAGTAAGCTAATTTCTGCAAAGCTAAATATTTTAGGATGATATTATTAAACTGTTCTGAATTACAGCATTTGGAAAGTGGTAATTTTTTTTCTGAAAATGGGGGAGAAGCTCGGAGAGATCTTAGGGCTTCTGGTTAATGAGTGGACAAGCCAGAAATAAAAACAAGGATTGCAGGGTTTATTCTTTTATATTTAAAACTTACGTATTTTGTGTATGGTTTGCTTTGGGATTTTTTTTTGCCTAATTCAGATAGTAGATTTAGAAAACATCAGGACATTTTTTAAATCTAACTGTTACATGAAGTAAAAGAGTTGATTTAAGGGCAGCAGTAAGAGAATTGAAGAAATTCTGTTGTTAAGAACAAAAAATTCAGCTTCTCACCACCTTGAAGTTTCAGGAAAACGAAAGTCTTGTCGTCTTGGCTTAATGAAGTTCCTTTTCTCACTCTAGAGATCTTCTTTCCATTTAGTTGTCAAATCATTCTATATATTTTTAAGTCTTCACCAATAATGAAAACATGCTTTTCTCTCCCCCCTTTTTAGATAGATTCTGTCCAACAGTTAGCAGCACAATGGAAAAATCGGCTGCTTCAGCTGAAGGCTTCAAATGCATCAACGAAAGCAGCTTTGGTAAGTGTTAATGACAGGCAAAATGTTTCTGTTCCTGATGTCTTTGATTAATCCTGGGCAGCTTTTTTTCCTTAGATTCATGGTTTTTTAGACACATCCCACCAGATTGCTCTGCAAACGCTAACATTAATTTCTTCCTCCAGGATTCTAGGACAAGGTGGTCACAATGTGCCACCTTGTTTTTAATGGTGAGATCTTGCATAGAAACTGCAGCTGCTATCCAAGTATTTAACTGCAGTTGTGGTAACTTTTTATAAATAGGTGGTAAATGTTGCTGTGAAGATTGCAGAATACTGTATTTTTGTCATCAAATAGACATGGTTCATTAGGGCATCCTTGTTTGCACCTAAATGGCAGAGACATAAAAATGTTTGATTCCATTTTCGTAATGCCAGAGTGAGAAACAGACAGGTAGGTGGTATAGAAACTGTTTGGATAAAAATTGAAGATCAAAAGTGTAATTGTTCCAGGGAGAGAAGAGAATGCTGTCAGAAAAGAATGCATGAGTTAAAGTCAGTATTGAAGAATCAGGGAGGCAGAGTAAGTTGATGTAGGTGGAGTCTGCATAAAGTGCGTCAAAGTTTGAGTAATATGATCACAGCCTGTGGTACCTGCAATGCTGAAGAGGAGAACATGGGATTGGGGCTATTGCACAGAAGACTAGTTGTGCCAAGGTAAGAGAGGAGGAGGAGAGCTGGAAGAGGTGTTCAGGTCACTGACAGACAGAAATCTGTCAGTTGTCATACATTGGTGTTTCTGGCATGTTTCACGGAGAACAGCCTGTGGCCTTAAAGCGTTTTGTTCATAGCTGCAGGAGCATGCAATGGTGATGGAGGTGATCAGGGTCTAATGTAGTCTTACTTGTGTTAAATTGGACTGGGCAGCTGTATTTTTGGTTCAGGTATTTACTGAAAGGCTTTTTCCTGTTTTGAACTGAGTTTTCATTTATGTATCTGTGTTGTTTTGTTTTGTTTTTTTTTTTTCTTTCAAGCTATCTGAATTAAAGAACACGGTCACACAAGCATTGCCACCTTCGGGATTTGGAGGACAGATAACATCAAGCTTAGGGTTTTCAAGTAAGTTCCTGCTTTAAGAAACAACAGTTAAAAATTTTCCTGATTTTTTTCTTCTCTACTATCACAAGTGTGCACATTATATCATTTAAAAAATAATCTCTGTAATGGCAGGCTTTCCTGTGAGTAGCACCAGTAGCAGCGCGAGCAGTTTCTCCTTCAAAACAAGTCCCAGTCTCCTCGGCAGTGCACCATCTGGAAACACCCCAGTTTTTGGGAGCTCTGCTGCTGGCCTGAGGTCCTCTCCCAGTGCAGCCCATTCTGTTGGTTTTGGCAGCACAACAGCTCCATCTGCAGCCTCCTTCTCATTTAAAACTTCTGAAACAACTAGTGGTTTTGGAACTCCTGGGTTTTCAGGGTCTGGCAATTCCACTGCTGTGAACTCTTCAAGCACCACTCCACTTACAAGCTTTGGAGCTTTTAATACAACTTCTCCCTCACATTCAAGCAGTACTTTATTTGGGCAGACTGCCAGTTCTTCTGGACATACCATAATAACGATGTCTTCTTCAGTCACAAGCACGACTACATCAGAAAAGTTATTTACGCCAAGGAGTGAATTATCAACTGAAGAGTTGAAACAATTTGAAGCAAAAAAGTTTACATTGGGAAACATTCCTCTTAAGCCACCACCACTAGAACTTTTAAATATTTAGGACCTTTATTCTGAAATAGTATGTTTTTATAACTTCAGCAATTTGTGGCTGAGTAATGAAATAAAATTCTTCCCTATGAGTTCATTTTAATTTCATCTCCAAGTCTTCTGTGATAATGAAAACTGCAGGTATAAAACTCTGAACATTTATGTTACATTTATGTTAACATTTACATTTACCCATATATGCTATATGTTATGCCATAACATTTGGCGTATGTAAACATGTCTACATTTATGTTAATGCATAGAATTATGTCTCTTTCTCCAGACTTGGTGGGGGCATAGATCAGCAGTACCTTTTCTAAATTAATGATACTAAGGTCAAGATTCTTTAAAGCAAGGTCAGAAATTTAGGGAAGGTACTGGAGTTAAGAGAAGAGAGCATTTGTCCTCAATTACTAATGGCTTAAAATTACCAAACCTCATAATTGAGGAAAGCAAAAGTTTACTCCAGGATATACATAAATAAATGGATTGTGTCTTTAACACTCGAAGATAACATTGCAGTTCTAGCTATTGACCCCATGGTCCTCCTTAAAACTTCACTATCCCTGAATTTCCTACCAAAAGTCCACAGCAAAGTGTGTTGCTAAAACTTTGTGAACAAATCTAACATTCAGGGTGGATGATAGGCCAGGAGTAGGCACTTCTCAGGCTTAGCAGAAATCTGGGTTCCAGTCCATGTGCTCAGTGTAGATGCACCAGAAACCTGCATATGTTATGGCACGGTGCTGCTTATATGGGTTTTTCTGGTGTTTGTTTTGTAGATGACATAAAGCATCTGGATTTTGTTGTTGACCCAGTGCAGGCTTGCTGTTACTCTCAAACAAAGAAGCTATACAAGGGATGGAAGAA